CAAAATTTGCGTCGTCTGCGAACCGAAACCGCGACGGCAAATTATTTTACTTTCCATTTGGAACTCAACGCTGCTTTTATACGTCATGCTGAAGTTGAGCTGTGGTGTCGTATGAGACAGTAAGCTCATGCAGCTATTTTTAAAATTCTAACTAAGAGTAGAAATTTATTTTTTAATCGAAGTCTTCCTTGGCGTTGCCGTCCTGACTGCTTAAGGTCCCCTACTGACGCTTTTGAAACACCGCGAGTTATTGGCTTGTTTGGTTATTTGTAACTCATGCGAGACAATTTTGATACTGACAGTCTGGCAGCACGCCACCCAGTCATTGCAACGTTCGCACATGAACAGGCGGTTGACCGCTGTTTTCTTATTCTCTGGGTGCTGTAAGATTTCTTGATGAAGCTATAAACTAAAGCCTGAATTCTGTCTTAAACTTTCTTTTCTATCATCCACAGGCCTTTGTCAGACTCACCAATCAGAAAACGAACCAAGAAATATTCTTTGTGGCTGAACCAGAGCCAAGCAAAGTTTTCAAATTTGATTTGGATGTGGGGGCTACTGCGAAAGACTCCTTTGGATCTCTTTCTGGAAGATACAAGATGGTTAGACCTGAAGTTTTCCTTTATATCTTAATTTCTTTAGAGAACATTCAAAAGCTATATCTGACACTGTCGGCCTCAATCGTTACATCTTTGCAACCTAGATTGTTGAAGAAACTGGAACAAAGTAGCCGGTAGAAATGAAAAGAATTGAAAAATACGAATCCGATGCGATACATGCGTCGGCCAACGGTCGGTCGACTATCAACCAATAGTCGCGTAACTATCGGTAACAATCGGCCAACACGGAGTTGCTTGAGGACCAGCCTGTCATTCTCAGTTTTCAGAACGTTGTTGAATTCAAATTTTTTGGAAACTTTTTATTTAGGACCTCATTGTTGGAGATGCTGTTGTTCAGAATCCTTTCGAGTGGAATGTGGTAAGTACTTTGTCTAAACTATGGTCTGTTTTTGGAAGTCCAGGAAGTTTGTTCCATTTGCGCTGGAGCGCCGTCACTTGTTTTCTTTTAGTGAAGGGGAGACGACAGTTCACTTGATTGTCGGCTGTTGTCTGAGATTAACCCTTAGACCCCTGAGAGAGACTGGTATCTAATTTCTCCTTACAATATCACCCCTGAATCACACATTAGGGTCAGGAGAATAAAAGAAATGATCACCAGCTAAAAGAGCTCTTGATTGTTAAACAAATTCTCCTAGTCAGTCCCGTCTCCTACAGGGTTAGGGGTAGGAGATGTTAATTTCCCACATACGAGATTACTGTGTGATGGATGTCCTCCCCTGGGGTGGGATGGGTGGGTTGTTTAGGTACTGGAACAGTTCTGTGAGATCTCTCCTGCCAAATCTGGCGAAGTTTATAAATACTAAAAAAAAAAAAAAAAATTAAATAACTGACAGGAAAAGTCGACTGACTAATGAGTGAAAATGGTGAGCGCTTTGCCATTTATTCATTTTAACCTTACTGAGTGGCGCGAAAAGCGAGTGACGCGTCAGTAACTGATTGGCGATGTCAAACGCACGTGAAGAATTATCGCAATTTTGCGCCTGTACAGTTACGGCTTTTCTAAGGGCTGAAAATCCTTTTAAAACACCACATTTTATGTAATAAAATCGAGTATAGTATATTCGTTTTTCTTTGAAGACGAATTTTAAGCAGTAAAGAACTTTGACCACTGGCAAATTAATCCTCAGTTTCTTACCTCTTAAACGACTTTGGTGAAACTGCGTCAGTCTTCTTCCAACCGAAAGATTGAAAATTTCCTGCGAAAATATCTTAGTTTGGTGGTTTGAGAGACGTTACATTTGTTCATGAATGAGGTGCAACGATATTTTTAAATTGTTTCTCGTTTGCAAGATTTTCCTCATTAAAACAACCAATTTTAGAATGGTTGTGGTCGGTGGGTCATATTTGCACTGTCTTGTTTCATTTTTGCTCCAGGTCAAGGTTAAAGTTGTTACCAAGGTGACTGTAGAAGACGTGGAGTTGTCAGTTGTCGACAAAGAGCAAAACATTAAAGCGAAGACTCTCAGGTAGGCCAATCAGAAGAAAGAAAAATAACCTGAGGAGCCAGTGAGAACTCAAAATAAAAACAAGTTAACTGCCAAAAGCGCGGGAAAAACGCGGGTGACGAAGTCGTGATTGGTGTTAGCTTTGCATCTGATTGGTCGAGAAGGTGGTGCGGGTTTTTGGACCTGTCACAGAGCGAAGTAAAGCAGAACCAATGCAATACCGGATTACTTTCGACGCTCTATTTTAGAAATTGCTCAATTTGAAAAGATGGGAAATTTCACTGAGGAATAGGATGTAGAATTGCGCCGGCCATATCACAAGGAATTGGCTTTAATTTCTAGAAACGGCTGAGAGGTCTTTCGGTGACTGATTCCTTTCTTTCTCTCTCCAGTGTCAAACATCCTGAAGCCATCAGTAGCGTTATCGAAGCTGACTACCATCAGAAGGTGGTGATGAAATTTTCATTAAAAAGCTCTTCATCTGGAGAGCTGTTCACCCCTCACCAGGTGAGCTCATTTAGAAATATCCTAAAATCTAGACATTTCATTGTCAGGTGAAAAACAAAATTAAAATTCCAAACGTGTAGTGTCGGCCTGGAGCGATTGCTCACGTGTTGTCGTATAGAGTCGAGCGCTTGAAAACACAGCTGTCAAGCGTCGGACATGCGCGAGGGGATCAACTCTGGCTGACCGCGCTTTAATTCCCCGCGAAGAACCTCAAAGAAAAATATAAGATACAATTGCTATCTCGCGAAATAAGCTAAAGAAGATTGAAAAATTCAGGGAAATTTGTAAAAGAAAACAAAAGTAGATTAAAGGAAAACTCGAGATCTTTTTCAACTCAAAGTTTGATTTACCATTCTGCAATGAGCTTTACCAAAAAGGTTATACGCTTTTAAAACAGCTTGACTTACTGGTTGGTGTTGGAATTTTGTAACTCATGCGAGACAATTTTGATACTGACAGTCTGGCAGCACGCCACCCAGTCATTGCAACGTTCGCACATGAACAGGCGGTTGACCGCTGTTTTCTTATTCTCTGGGTGCTGTAAGATTTCTTGATGAAGCTATAAACTAAAGCCTGAATTCTGTCTTAAACTTTCTTTTCTATCATCCACAGGCCTTTGTCAGACTCACCAATCAGAAAACGAACCAAGAAATATTCTTTGTGGCTGAACCAGAGCCAAGCAAAGTTTTCAAATTTGATTTGGATGTGGGGGCTACTGCGAAAGACTCCTTTGGATCTCTTTCTGGAAGATACAAGATGGTTAGACCTGAAGTTTTCCTTTATATCTTAATTTCTTTAGAGAACATTCAAAAGCTATATCTGACACTGTCGGCCTCAATCGTTACATCTTTGCAACCTAGATTGTTGAAGAAACTGGAACAAAGTAGCCGGTAGAAATGAAAAGAATTGAAAAATACGAATCCGATGCGATACATGCGTCGGCCAACGGTCGGTCGACTATCAACCAATAGTCGCGTAACTATCGGTAACAATCGGCCAACACGGAGTTGCTTGAGGACCAGCCTGTCATTCTCAGTTTTCAGAACGTTGTTGAATTCAAATTTTTTGGAAACTTTTTATTTAGGACCTCATTGTTGGAGATGCTGTTGTTCAGAATCCTTTCGAGTGGAATGTGGTAAGTACTTTGTCTAAACTATGGTCTGTTTTTGGAAGTCCAGGAAGTTTGTTCCATTTGCGCTGGAGCGCCGTCACTTGTTTTCTTTTAGTGAAGGGGAGACGACAGTTCACTTGATTGTCGGCTGTTGTCTGAGATTAACCCTTAGACCCCTGAGAGAGACTGGTATCTAATTTCTCCTTACTCTATCACCCCTGAATCACACATTAGGGTCAGGAGAATAAAAGAAATGATCACCAGCTAAAAGAGCTCTTGATTGTTAAACAAATTCTCCTAGTCAGCACCTTAGGAAATGTATTAGAGAACAGTATGGAGAATATGCATATTGATGCTGGGTGTAAAGGGTTAAAGAGTTAAATCAGTGGCATCTTGTTCACTCGCTGTTGCTTGCGCTTGATGCCCTCTTCTTGTTCTACTTAACAAATCGACAGTGATTTTGTGTGGTCTGTACTCTTATCGACAACGATATTCGTCATCATAGTGGTCAAGATACATGTAGGGACCTGAAGCAAACCACAACGGCGACGGCAATGAGACCGTGGAAAAACAAAAGATCTAATTGGCAGAACAATAGCTTAGCACGTGCATTTTAAAACTTAGTACATTTCTTAGCCGTCCTTTGCAAAACAACAACGTGAAATCACCAAAATTTTCGTCGTCTGCGAACCGAAACCGCGACGGCAAATTATTTAAATTCCCATTTAGAACTCAACGCTACTTTTTTTTATACGTTATGTTGAGGTTGAGTTGGGGCGCTGTATGAGAGGATAAACACATGCAGCCGTTTTCGAAATTTTAATTAAAAGTGGAGTTCATTTTTTAATCGACGTCTTCCTTAGCGTTGCCGTCCTGACTGCTTAATGTCCCTGTGGGGACACAGCCCAGTGAGTCCGCAACAACGTCAAATAAAATGATTCTTTCAATGCGTGACCAAGATTGTGATACGTTGTTGCGAGGAGCGTTGTCTTTATTATCGACAGCCGAAAATTGGGACATAACTTCCAATTGTGGTAAAATTTGAGCTTTCCGGCATTAGTTCTTTGTAAGGTTTTCTTTAATTAAAATTTTTTTCTGTCCCTTAGGGAGTTCTCTCATTAACGTTCGGTGAGGACCCAACCAAACCGAGTAAAGATAAAGAAAACATGTACCACGCCAAACCAGAAATCGAGGTAAAGCTACTGCTGTAGTTGTTCAACGTAGCTTTGTGTCCAAGGCCACAAGGGGAGCTTATATTTTTGCGGAAAAGTTAGATAGAAAAACTACTGAACAATTGAATACCATTTTTCGTGCTTCTCTTTTGTAATAGATCAGAGATGACGTTAAAATAGAGTAAGAATAAGTGGTTTGCAACCAATCTCTAGAGATACAGGTAACAATGGTGAAAGGAACAAATGCTGCTGGACAAACAAAAGGAGCTAATGAGATATCCATTGTTTACGTCCACCAACATGGCGGCCATGACGTAACGTGCAAACCACCTATAACAAAAGTGGTACCCGAGGCGTAGCAGAGAGTTGTTACTCGACTTCGACGCCATTATCAGAATAAGCTTTGTTGTGCACGAGCAGATTTCAATTTTAGACAGCGAATTCAGTTCAGGGTGGTCTTAGTAACGGGTTCCATTGCAATTTCTTTTCATATTCAAACCGATGTTAAACTTTATTCCACTTATTTTTCTCAGCACATGTTCCGTATTCCAGAGAAGCGTCCTCCCAAAGCCGTCTCCACAGCTTTCACTGTCCTTGTCTTCCTCCCTCTTGCTATTATGCTGATTGTGGTGAGTTTTGCATTCAGATATGTTCAAGCCACTTTCGTGAAGTGATATCCAATGTAAATAAGAATGTGGGTAATTTTACCAAAGGCGAGGTTGAAAAATTAACTCGAGATTACTTTTGAAAGATTCTTTCACTCTTAAAAATTAAGCAGCCTGTCAGAATTGCTACTAGTTGCTGCCTGGAGTAAACAGATTCTTGAGTACAACCTCAGTACCAAAGGGGGACGTTTGTTTTGTATGCACATCTGTCTCCTAATTCTTTTAGCCACTTTTTTTTTTTTGAAGTCCAATTTGTCTTTGCATCAACCTGATTACGTTTGTTGTTAGTCTATGAGTGTCAATCTCAGTTTAGCTAACGACGCTGGAGCGATGCAACATAAAGAAATCTTATCTCCACCGAGACTTCTCTGATACTGTGAGATGTCTTGACTAACCAGGAGATGACATTTGAGCAATATTTACTGAGCATAAGGTAGTAGTATCTTTTGTGCTCTTCGGAATTGAATTTTGTTCTATCGCATTTATTACTTCCTTGGTAACATTGACGAAACCCGAGGCAGCCATTTTGAAATTAAGCGCGAGGCGATAATGACGAGATAGAACGCAACCCTCGATCAATCAGAGCGCGAGAATCTCCATGATTACCAGAGCAATTATACAAAGGGCGTTTATTTTGTTTTATTTACAGTGGATAAGGCTAGGAGCCAACGTCTCCAATTTTCCATTTTCTCTCGGGGCAATAGTCTTCCATTTAGGTTTGGGAGGTAAGTTGAAACTTTCGTCAGCGATGCTCTAAGCTATATATAGTCCGATTCATCCAAGTGGTGTGTGAATCACTGAGGGCTAAGATAGATATCTCCAGAAATCATCAGAAATTGTCGTGGTTATAATATTTAGCATAAAAATTTCGAAGTGTGTGTAAGTTATAGAGTAATCTTCAATTGAGTGTCCAAAGAAATCCAAGATTGCTTTGGTTTTTTCTTTTTTCTTTACTACGCTCTGTGATTGGTTCAGAAAACTCCAGCCATTCTCTCAACCAATCAGATGCAAAACTAAAACCAATCACGACTTGGTCGCCGGCGTTTTCCCGCGCTTTAGTTGTTTTACTTTGAGTTCTCAAGTTGAAAGGCGCTCTGAAATTGTCGCTCATGTTTTATGGATAGGATTGACCGTGTTCTTTACTTTGAATTTCTTTCAGCCATATTTGTCCTATATTACCTTTTCTTCGTCAGCCTGGTAAGTGTTTTGCTGCTTCCTCAACTAAACTTGACGAACGTGCATCAATCTATTCGAATTTGCCGTTACTTTGAAAGGATTTTCTTAAAGAGACTGGCGATTTTAGAATGGTGCTAAAGAGAAAATCTCAACTCCACCGGGACTTCTCTATTTAAATGAGATTTCTTGACTTAACCAGAGATGACATACATTTTGCAAGATATTTTAATTGTAGTTAAAATGACAAGATACTTAGCAAAAAGCAAATGTATGTGAATGTATGTATCACAGACAAGATTGTTTATTTATGCCGTATAAGTCGATTACTTTGTAGTCCTTCTCAAAACTTTGAGGCCATTTTGTAACCATGAAACGCGTTTTTTAGGGCAAATTACTACCGTCCGTGACTCGATTCCGTCGTGTACAGCTGATTCGATTTTTTGCGCCATTTCCCTGCGCCACATTTCTGCTACTTCGCGCCTTTTTCACACGTAACCGTTCTGTAGCTTCGCGCCATGTCCGCGCAACAATTCTTCTGTTTGTGCCGCCTTTTTTCCACGCTCGGTATCCTTGTTCCTTTTGAAAGGCCTATTGCTTTCTTTGCGTTTTTGTGACTGGTCGGCTGTAATATGTGTTGTTTTACTACTCAGCGTTTGTTCTTTAATCTCTCTCTGTAGAACATGTTCACCACTCTAAAACTCTTGGCTCTAATTGGTGGCCTCACCTTCTTGGGCGGTAACAGTCTCCTGAGCAACATCGCAGCCCGCAGGTGAGTTGGTAACGAGTGCTAATATTCCCAGCCCTGCCCTTCCTTATTGGACAACGAACCATTTTTGTGATTTGTTTAAATTTTTCGTAACCTTTTCTGTTTTTTGTTGTTTTTTTTTTTTCAGGGGAAAACGTCCAGCGATGTAAAAGATTTAGGCTCACTTTAGATTGTTCATTTTTACGAAGTGTTCATTGTGCAATAAAGTAATTCTATAAAATAGTTGTGCAAGTTTTTATTTTAATATTTAAGTTTTTGAAGTAGTGGTAATTGATGCTGTCTTGGTCAATCACTGGTAACAAAATGGCGTCGAGCAACTAATAGATAGAGGACGAAGAACGTAATCGCATCAATCAGTTTCCAGTTCAACATTTTTACGTTAGGCAATACAGTAACTATACGACTATATGGACTTGTTTGCTGTTTTTTTTTTCGAAGAGCATACCTAAAGAAAAAAAAATAGCATGATTAATAAACAAAACAAAACAAGTATGATTTTGAGCGTATTTCGGAAAAAATCGGGCAATGTTAGTGGCATGATAAGCTACTTTTACCGGCACAGTCTTTTAGGGTCTAATCGACCTTCTCGGTAACATTAGTTTAAAACGCCTGACTAGTGATTTGCTTTTCAAGAACAGCCTTATGTAGGGAAAAAATGGAGCGTTTTTGAACGACAGATTAAATTCACCAACACAGGGGCTTCAATAAAATAAGGTAATTTGGTTTCATCAACTGAATTGATAATACGTATGATGCACGATCCTCGTAGTAGAGAGCGCTATTTATGCAATAGCGAAAATCAGACCTGAAAAAAATCAGGCCTGTACGGGATTCGAACCACTGACCTCTGCGATACTAGTGCAGCGCTCTACCAATTGAGCTAACAGGCCAACTGGGAACAGGCCGTTAAGTTGATTCGTAATAGACCCGTGATGATAAATCAGATACAATGAATATATGAAGTTTATATATTTGAACTGCGGTATTAGATACGTATGATGCTCGATCCTCGCAGTAGAGAGCGCTATCTAATACCGCTATCTAATACCGCAGTTCAAATATATGAACTTCATGTATTCATTGTATGTGATTCATCATCACGGGTTTATTACGAACCAACTTAACGGCCTGTTCCCAGTTGGCTTGTTAGCTCAATTGGTAGAGCGCTGCACTAGTATCGCAGAGGTCAGTGGTTCGAATCCTGTACAGGCCTGATTTTATCAGGTCTGATTTTCGCTATTGCATAAATAGCGCTCTCTACTGCGAGGATCGTGCATCATACGTATCTAATACCGCAGTTCAAGTATATGAACTTCATATATTCATTGCATCTGAATTGATAATGTTAAATTAGCCACCGTGAAGAGTTTCAGCTTTGAAACTCTTTACAGCTAATTTGTATCAACTCAGTTAATAAAACCCAATTACCTTGTTACTTCCACCGACGCAGCACCACGGTATCTTCAGAAACTTTCTCCCTTTATTCATGGGTTTCAGTGCTACCGCCTTTAAGACATTTCACCGGCTTCTGTTTAGCGTGTGAGCAATCTATCGTGTTTGGGTTTCGCCTATCACACTAGCGGCAGCCGCGTATGAGAAAAAGTAATTGCAACCTTTGAATAGGCGAAGTTATTAAAGAGGATTGTATAAAAGTTAAAATAGTTTCGACCGAAGCGCAGCATGGTGTGAGACTTGAAGAGATCACACCCGAAAAACGCATTTCAAAACTGCTCATTCAATGTGCGCACCTCTCTAATTTTCCCAGTCACAAGCCGTTTGCAATCTTTCAAATGTTCATTGAATTTAAATAAATATAGGGTTACCATTTGATATTTTATTAAGTCTCTGGCTTGATAAAACTTGGAATTTCCTTTGGTAAATTCAGTTTAATTCAGTCTAGTGACGGTCAAATGATTCATTCGACAGGATTTTAATTTTTTTTTTTATTTCCACGTTGATTTTAATTTCAGGAACAAATGTAAACGTACAGATTGCATTTTGAAATGCTGCGCGTTTTAACGCTTTAATGTTTTGTTGTAGCACTGCGCATTAACAAGCTCTAATTAATCTGCGTTTTATCTATGCAATGAAATCAGTTTTAAAATTACTTTGCTAGTACCTAATTTAAATGCATAAAAGGCATTTCATATACTTTTTGGGTGAACATAGTATAAAGTTAATATTTTTGACTAAGAGCATCAAATGGTTTATGGGAAAAGGAGTCGCATTTAGTAACCCATGGTTTGAATTAATTTACAGTGCAACTTTCTTCATTCAAAATGTTTTTCCATCTGTTTTCAAAACGATTTTGATACAAAATTTCAGCTGTTTTGCTGTGTTCCGAAGTACGAGGACCAATCAGTGTCCTTTGATTTTCACTGAACACGATTCCTTCATAAAAAAATTCAACTGTTTTGATGTACTTCGAAGTATGATAACGAACCCGGGTTTCTTAAATTTTCAACACTTATACCAATGTATTAAACTGCAGAGAACTGTTCGATTACCACTACCATAAGTGTTTGAATATAACACATTAAATTGCCACTTCTCTCTCGACTTATATGCGATTTTATTAATGCGATACAGTACTAGATAAATTAACAAAATCGACATAGTTGTTCTTAACGATGTTGCGAAATATGTACAAACATTTGTGTAAGAACTCAATATTCCTATTTCTTTTTACATAATTCAAAAACTGAAGAGGAAAGCGAGGCGGGACGCGGTGGAGGTCCTGCATCAGTGGAGTCTTTTACTTGACATGGTGTCGCTTTGCTCTTCGGAGGAAATGCTTGGCGATGAATTGGATTGATTTTCACGATTGATAGTAAGGGTAGCGGGTAAAATGTGCCCTCTTTTGCAACCGGGAATGTTGGATGAGTTTTCTTCCTGGATTTCTCCGAGATGGAGGAACATTTCGCCGGGACAGTGTTGGCCGATTTGTACGTGGCATCACCTGCTTTGGAAAAAATTGACTTCAAGACTGCCAACCGCGTGTTGTTCCTTTGCGGAAAATCTGTAATTCGTGGAATGTTCCGTTGATTTGAGTCATCAACGATCATTTCACCTTTTCTGTACCTCAACTTTTTGCGCTCAAGCCCTTTTTTGAACTCCATGCTTGCTAAAGTCACCCCAATGCTGGGCCAGGCGGGATTGGAAATCTTCGTTGGCTTGACACAAAACTGCTCGTAGTTACTCAGAGGCCTTGGGCTCTTTCGCCTGGCCTCAAAGCTGTTACGTGAACTTCGCAGAGGTTGTACTGAAGATGGCTTCAAACTAGAAAGCCTTCTTTGGGTGGACGTCATGTTTTTGATCATAGAAATCGTTGTGACAGCTTCTTCAGATGTTTCGTCGAAATCCATGAAAATATCGCCTACCTTTTTCTGTGTATCAGAACTAATTTTTTTTTTTCTGTTTTGTTCTTTTTTTTTTCTGCTGAGCTAGTGCCAAATTTACCTCCAAGTGATCGCTGAATGGTTAAATTTTCTGTTGTTTTGTCAGTTTTCGTGTCGAAGTGAACTCAGCAGATTCGACCCAACTAACAATGGGTTTAATTTGCTTTTTGATCATAGAGTTTCCGTGAAAGTTCACTCTCCACCAACAAGAGGAGATTTGGGCGGCTGAAGAGCTTTAAAAGGTTTCTTGAGTGACGACTTCCTCATTCAAATCACTGTATTCTTGTTGAAGACTAATTTTCAGAGCAGCTTCGACTCCTTTGTTCTTTTTTGGCGGCATATCTCCCAAAAAGACTTTGTCCGGCATCCACAAAGAGGACATTGGTTTTTTTTCTACGTTCGGTGACTAATTACGAAAAAATTTCAAACAGATTTTTTTTCGCAATTCTCGAAATTTTCTGTGCTGGTTGTAGGTCATTTAAAATTCAAGTAAATTTTTGATCAAGTTACTCGACTGTGATAGAATAAAGTAAATAAGCAAATGATTGGCGATTGAGCGTTATCAAAATATTTTGTGGTGAACTGTTAATTCAAATCAGTGCACAGCTGCAAATTTTCTGCTAATTTCCAACCGGAAATCTTTGTTTTTTGTTGCTTCAAAAATTTATAATAAACATTTCGCTGTCGCATGCGTGTCTGGCTTTTTATCGATGCCTCCTTTCAAACCAGAAAAAACCACGAAATACGAAAGATTAATGTTAGTTTTCTGTTTTTCTGACCGAAAAGTTGTGACTGGAATGGAAGTGACTGGAATGTTGCGAATAAATTTACACTTTGTCTTCCTTTACGTTACGTTACATTACAATAAATATTGCCTTTTTTGAAAAAAAAAAAAAAAAAAAAAAAACAAGCAAGAATGTGAATTTTTTTTCAAACTCTTAAAACCAATTTAAACTTTCGATTTGTGGGTTTTTTTTCGAAAACAAAGCGTTTCAAATATATTTTGCCATTTTAGAGCAACTCGTGAGCCAAATCAATCCACCCAATAAAATGTGCATTCGCAGGCATGCGCAGAAATCAAGATGTCGTCCTCCAAATTATTGTCACCGGGAAAAGAAAGGAGATTCATTTTGCTGTTCGCTTTGCTCACTCGTGAAATATTTTTTAACAGTCGAAGAGAAATTTCGTATCTCTAATCGTATAAGCGGCCATGTAATATTCTATTTATTATAAAAACATCGATGAAAAGCCAAACCATTTCACTTTTGCTGCGAAAGACACGATTTATTATGTAACCATAGTAACGGTGTTGTTTTCACGGGTGAAGATACAAGATATCACGTTTTCGCGCAAAAGCTCACCTGGTTTTTCATTGGTGTTTTAAGCGACAGATCACATTTCCGGGCTCTATAACGCGATAAAGCCACGTGAGATGTTGGGAAAACACGAAGAAAGACTCTAAGACTGTAGTACTATAAGCTTTCCGAAAAAAGGCGTTCTATTGTTTTTATGACATAACAAGTTACACGCGGGAAAACTGAATTGACTAATCAGACGATGCGTGCTCTGTTCATGTACGTTATAATATATAAAAAAAGATAATAACTTCGCGGAACCCGTTTTCAACCTGGTTTCAAACAACAACAAAAACTTTACAAAGAGCGAAAAAACACCATCGATAATATTTGTTTATGGCTCATCTACTTAGGGAAGAAGAAATTGAAAAAGTTTCTTACTCGCATAAACAAAAAAAGAAAAAGAAAAACAATCATTGAAACTTGAAAATGGAACTTTTTCGTCTAAGAGGAAACTTTACGGCATTTC